GGTCACGGGTGCAGGCCTAGACGCATCGTACTGAGCCTCGCCTGCACCCACGCCCTGCACATCCTCAACAACATGCCTCGCCCTTCCCTCCACGGCAAGACACCGCTGCAGATTGTCACGGGCTCGCTGCCCAAGCACGTGCCGCAGCTGCACGTCTTCGGGCAGCCGGCCGTCGTCCACATCAGCACACAGCGCGGACGCCTGCAGCCCAAGGGCCGCCGAGGCATCTACGTCGGCCACAACAGCAGCAGCAACAGCCACCTCGTCTACTTTGCAGACACAAACACCGTTGTGTCCTCCATCCACGTCCGCTTCCTTCCCTTCTCTAAGGCCGATGATGTCATGGATGAGGGGGAGGAGCAAGTGCAGACATCCACGACATCGTCCATGCTCCAGCTTCCCAGTGCACGTGACAGCAGCAACAGCACCACTGACGGTGAGCCACCAACGGTTCACATCGACGATGACCAGGACGAGGATGTCGAGACAGACTTCCTGCTCACGGACTTTGACGCCGACAGCAGCAGCGACACCAACGACGCCAACTACGACCCCGACACAACAGATGCAAGCGACACCGAGGCAGGCGCGTTCACAGCAAGCAGCAGTGGCGACACCAGCCTCACGGAGCCTGCAAGCATCAAGCAGGCACTCAAGAGCCAGCAACGCAAGCAGTGGACTCAGGCATGCTTGGAGGAGATCGGGGCCATGGAGCGCAACGGCGTCATCAAGCTCATCCCACGCAGCGTCGTGCCACGGCAGCACACGCCTCTCAAGTCACGCTTCGTCTTCAAGGTGAAGCGTGATGCGGAAGGCACGCCGACGCGCTTCAAGGCACGCTGGGTCGCCAAGGGCTTCAGCCAACGACCGGGCATCGACTTCCACCAGACCTACGCCCCAACACCAGCAGCCAAGACCATCCTCACTGTACTCGCCGTCTCCCTGCAACGACAGCACCAGCTGCACCAGCTCGACTTCAAGTCGGCTTACCTGCAGGCTGATCTCAAGGAGGAGCTGTACATGGAGCTGCCGCCGCACTTCACCGACATCGGCGACGGCGCTCAACGCTACGCGGGCAAGGTGTGCCGGCTGCTCAAGCCGCTCTACGGCCTCAAGCAAGCTGGCCGTGCGTGGGCCAAGAAGCTGCACACCTTCCTCAAGACCAACGGATGGGCGCAGAGCAATGTCGACGCTTGCCTCTTCACCAAGCTGCACGACGACGGACAGCGCACATGGATCATCACGTACGTCGACGACCTCATCATCAGCAGCAGCAGCCAGCGTCACATCCGTGCCTGCAAGCAGCAGATCAAGGAGAGCTTCGAGGCAGAGGACCTGGGCCCGCTCACCTGGTACCTGGGCCTTCACCTGACGTCACCAGCTGACGGGGTGTTGCTGTTGACAGGCAAGTCCTGTCTGCTGAGTCATCATTGACCTCCCTTCTTCACGACACCACAAATTTACATTCACCTCTCTTGTGTTCTGGAATGTTCACGTGATTTCCCTCCAACCTGTTGCACGTGCAGTGTTTAGCTTGTGTGGTTGCTCGATGTTACATGCTCTTGCATAACACACCACATAACCACACAACTCTCAACAAACACTGCCACGTCACCACTTTGCGTTGTCGACAATTCTTGTCTTCTGCTCTGTTTCTTTCTGTTGGAGTGTTCATTCATCCTACGTCCTTGTTTGCTTCACAACTCAAGTAAACACACACAACTTCCTCTTGTCAAGACAATCTCCCACACAACACACAGCACACACAGCACACTCTGCACACACACAAGTCTCCAACAACAGCATCACCAGCATGAGTGTTCAACAACCAGCATCACCCGCCATTACGTGCTTGTACGCGAGTGCTGCCTCCATCGCTTGTGCACCTCGACTGCCTCATCAATCGTGTGGCGGTTTACAGCATTTCCAATCTGCAAAGGACCTCTCAGTCGAAAATACTGACAGCCACTGTCAGGGTAAAGGATACAAAGGGAACATGCTTGGACCGCAGTTGGTCCGTATGTGGTTATATTTCATCGCCTACCATCCTCTCGACGTGTGTGCACCTCTCAGAGAATGCTCTGGAATCAATCTGCAATAGAAATGCGACACATTCGAGGTTAGCAGATGAAGTAGGCAAATGAGAAAACCGATGCTGACATCACGGTTCCAGTGTCAATGCTTGCTGAGTCAGCAAATTCTGCTGTAAATGTTTCTGTGCACGTGCGCCCAGAAACGGGCGTTTCTGGTTGTTTTGCCGCGTGGCACTTCTCTTTCTCCTCCAGTTTTCTGTCTATGTGTGAGAGTGTCTTCCAGTTCATGTTCATTCATCCTACATCCTTGTTTGCTTCACAACCCAAGTAAACACACACAAATTCCTCTTGCCAAGACAATCTCTCGCACAACACACAGCACACACAGCACACACACACATACACACACAAGTCTCCAACAACAGCACCACCATCATCAATAAACAACAGTGACAGCTCATCGTTGACGAAGTGACGATACGATGACTTGGTTTTGCGAAGCGTGTTGTTGCTGCCGTTTCGAACTCACCAAAACATGCGTCTATGTTAGCCTCGATGAAGTAACGTGCCCATTGCTGCAGAGCTCCATCGAAGTAGAGAGTTGCAAGGCGGAGTTGGTCCCGGTGACATCACGTTGACAACAGCACCACCAACATGAATGTTCAACATGGCCAGAGAGAGCGAGAGGGAGGGAGAGAGAGAGAGGAGGAGAGAGAGAGAGGAGGAGGAGAGAGAGAGAGAGAGAGAGAGAGAGAGAGAGAGAGAGAGAGAGAGAGAGAGAGAGAGAGAGAGAGAGAGAGAGAGAGG